GGCCCCCTCCCCGCACGCCCGCGCCCGCCACCATGATGTTCCGGGACCAGGTGGGCATCCTGGCGGGCTGGTTCAAGGGCTGGAACGAGTGCGAGCAGACGGTGGCGCTGCTGTCGCTCCTCAAGCGCATCACCCGCACCCCCGCCCGCTTCCTGCAGCTCTGCCTGGAGCACTCGCTGGCCGACTGCACCGAGATCCACATCGTGGAGTCAGAGGCCAACAGCGCAGGTGAGGCGCCCTGCCCTGCCCTGCCCTGCCCTGCTCCCGAGCCCCCTCCGGTGCGAGGCGGGGCAGGCCGGGCCTAGCCGTGTCCCCCTTCTGCTCTCGGCCGGGTGCTGGGTGCGTGCAGCTGCTGCTGGGGTGGAACGAGGCAGCTGCGCTGTGTTCCCAAAGCTGGGAACAACCCGCTGCCTTGTGGCATCCGTGTCTGGGAGCTGCTACAAGCTCCTCCCTCCGCCGCGGCCCCTTCGGCGCAGCGGTGCGGGGGGACACTGGGTCCGGCGATGCTCAGATTCCCCTTCAGACCCCCACCATAGGCTCTTGACCTTGAAGCCGCCGGCCTCTCCCCGGCCCCGTTCCCCCGCGTCCTTCCTCCTTCGGCGTTTACATTCCTGAGATTCTTGGAGAGCGCCGCTGGCTTCCCGCTGGAACCCGCCTCCCTCCCGTTGCCTCTGCCCCGAAACCCCCTGTCCGGCTCTGGGGTTCGTCTCTGCCCGTGTCCGTGAAGGAGGGGTGGGCGGGGGGGAGAGCGCTCGAGTAGCAAAGCAGGATGTCCTGGATGCAGCCGGCGAGCTGCTCCCGAGTGACCCCGAGGTGCAAATCGCCCCTGCGTTAGCCGCGGCTGGTTCCGATCAGGCCAGGCAGTCGTGCGAGGGGATTGTCTGCGTGGCTTCGCTCGCACACTCATCTGGGCTGCTACAGATGACGCCAGCCCTGCGTGGAGGTGGGGGCTATGCTGGACGTGCCACTCCTGCCAAGGGCTGTGCCCAGCTTCCCTGTGGCTCTGCCTTCAAGATGCCTTCTCTCCCCGGGGCCTGCTTGCCTTGGCACCGGGGCATCTGCTGCTTGGGTTATACCAGGGGCAGCTGGACCCGTATCGCTGTGATCATTTCAGGCACATGGTGGTGTGAGAAGCCCCTTTATGTCCTAACTATACCTTGGCATCCTGTTTTAGGAGCTGGCAGGGTCTGGGACTGTCCTGACTGGGGCTTTGGGGCAAAAGGAAGTGCTTTTGGTTGGGTTCAGATCGCTGCTGCTCCAGGCGAGGCCACATTTGACACCCAAAAGAGCCGTAAGAGGCTGGTTACATAACCTGTGGTGCCTGTGGTGTGTGTATGAAAGGGCTGGGAGGTTTCACCCCGATAGCAACTGCATTCTCCCAGCTCAGACCACAGCTGAAACTCGTCTCTACAGGGCAGGTGGGACCTCAGCCTTGACGTATTCCCCTGCTGTGGGATTTGAGTGCTGCAGGAGGGGAGGGGGGGGATACAGAAGCTGAGCTGTTCATGTGCAGGTGGGGAAACTGAGGCAGGAAGCAAAGACCCACCCTCTGTCATCAATGGGAGAGCTGGACGTAGAACCCAGGAGTCCTGGCCAGGCTAAGCTGGTGTCTGGCTGGTCCCTGCCTGCCAGGAGGAGGTGCTCTGGGGGCCCAGGGGTTGATAGCTCTGATGCAGGGCCAGAGGGGGAATAATCTGGGAGTCACGGGCTAATGAGGCCAGTTGGCTTGGGGGTGAGAGCAGTCCTGAGCCAGCCCATAGGACGACCCCCCACCCCAGTTCTTTTCCCTCATGTGGTGCCTGATGCCGTGGGCACCTGACCCCATTCCTTCCTCGTGCACCCACCAGCCTCTGTCTTCGGGTTCTGGCTCCATCCCACTGCCGACCCCTCTAACCCCTCTCTCTGCCCTTGCAGCTGTGGTGAGCCAGTGGCATCAAGAGCCCAAAGACAAGGTCATCTCCCTGCTCCTGACTCACTTGCCCCTGCTGCAGCCGGGCAACATGGACGCCAAGACCGAGTACATGAAGCTGCTGCAGAAGGTGCTGGCCTACTCCATTGAGAGCAACCTGTTCATCGAGGAGAGCCGGCAGCTGCTGTCCTACGCCCTCATCCACCCTGCCACCACCCTAGACGACCGCAACTCCCTGGCCCTCTGGCTGG